CTTTGTACTTATCATCCCTGCCCTCAAATATCTCGTCCACTTCCGAGGCCTTCAATAGCGTTATATTAGTGGCCAAAGAGTGCGGACCTAATCCTATAGTACTGATCCGTTTGCGCTCTTCAACGCTAACCAAACGGCGCCAAAGCGATGGATACCTCTTGTAAAGGGAACCCCTAAACATCCGCATATAGTTACCGACCTGTCATTCGCGACAACCAAATGGTTAGACAATAATGAAGACAATGAGTGGTTGAGGAGGGGATGGGAAGCGATGGATGGATACCTCGGATCCGATGTAATGAAACTCTCCGTTCTCTTCCAACTGGAAAGCCGTCGGTCTTTCGCCGAATGTCCGCATTTTGCACCTGTGTTTGGCCGACACACGCGTGGATCAGATAATGAGTGGTGTCTTCGTGTCAATGGTTTTGGTTGTGATTTGTTTGGGATGTGTTGTCCTCTGCTTTCAATGCATTCAAGTGAACGCCATTTGCAGTGTTTGAGTGAAGCAGTGCTCACAGAGGCATACGTTTTGTACCCATTTGTGACAATGCATTGAATTGTAAACACTGTTTGCAATCGCTATGTAATGGGCCCTCACGTGCGCTATACCTGTTAAGCCCTTTAACACTCTGAACGCCGGCTCTCATTGTTAACACAACTTTTAATTTAAGTTTGCATTCAATTTAATAGCAATTTATTTAATTTACACTTTTATTATATTTGCATTTATTAACAATACTAACCGTTATTAGCAAATGTGTTGAATGGGTTGACACCCCCTCCCCTTCTAATCGATATAGTTGTTTAAATTGAATGATATTGGGTAAAAGTTCTTGAAATGATATTGTTAACTTAACAATGGTTATTAAGCTTGGTTAATTATTTAAATTGTGTAATAAACTATAAATCAATTAATTGGTGTCAATTAATGTCAGTAATAGTATTAATTATATGCTCAAATAATATGCACACCTTTTTAGGCGAATTTTGGCCGTTAATTAAAATAGTGTAATGAATATCAGAATATTCTGTAAACTTATCGCATATTTATTAATTGATAACAGATATTATGCTATAAAAACACTCGGCTTTGTTTTTATTGTGAT